ATAAAAGGACACGTACATCCGTTTAAAATAACTAGATTTTCACCCGTACGTGCGATGCACGGAAAAGAAATTCATAAAAATCTAAATTTTGTTATTTATGTAGAGTATTACTACTTAGAAAATATGAAATAAAAAACGTATAAATGTATAAAGACTATATAAAATTAATACATATATGTAAAAAAAAATCATTAGGTGGATTTAAATCATCATGTATACAATATACAATTAGTAAAAAAAGAATATCTTAAAATATACTATAATGTAAAAAACCTTCAAATTTTTACAAATTTCGTGTAAACAGCATTTGTAACATGCATGGTCGATTTATCTTTATCATTTCAAAGTTCTATGATTTGTAACTTGTAACAATGTAAGATCTAGTTGATTGTGATTAACATGCATGGTCGATTTATCTTTATCATTTCAAAGTGTCGATTTTTATGGAGATTATGAGGATTTTTAGCTTATCAACAATTGCTATTGCATGTTGAATTGTATAATTATCAAAATGTGAGAAATTACTTACATAGTGATACTATTTTTTAACTATTTTTATAAATTGGTGTTCTCTTTATTTTACTAATAAATTACTCCATATATTTGAATTTAATTTTTCATCATGAAGCAAATTCACTAATTCACCTGATTCAATCATAATTTCACCAATTTAAGCACTTTTAATCCAATTTCATTATTATTATACATACACTTAACTGGCTGAAATACATTAATATTTGAATATTTTTCTGAGCCAACTAAATTGGTTGAATAATGAAAAGAATTCTTTTAAAAAATATTTCATTGATACAAAAAAGAAAACTTAAATGGGAAAGAATAGTTAAAATTGTACTTATACCGTACCGCTAAAATTGTCTCATTTTTCTTTTTCGATTCGTTCTACTGAAGATCGTCTATTCGTCTCATATCAAATTTGATAAAATCTGTGTGATTCCAAATCATTTTTACTTTATTATTAGTTTATCAATTCAATATGAATCATGTAAATTCATTTTTCTTAATAACATCATTTCCTCCTCATGTCCTAATGTTAGTAAGATGGTGATAATATTGTTTAGCAATTTATGTTATTTCACCTAGAAATGTAACTTGAACTTTCTTTTTTATGAATTATGTTATGAATCAAACCATAAAATCCACAAAGCCAATAATAATAATAATTGAAAACAAATGTCCACAATAAACTACAAAAAATCACATAATGGAGGGAATTCGTCAAAATTCGTGCAAAAGAAGCATTTTGGCACGAAATTAACGATTAATCCTTTTTAAATTCATATCGGTAATTTTATTTTGATACTCCGTCGCCCGTAGAGTGTACCAACTACCAACCTAACCTAGTGACATTATTCTCCTAAACTTTTTACTTTATTTATTATCACTCCAATTGGAGCTACGTGTATAACATGCCCTTAATCATATTAATTCCACTACTTAGGCCCATTTTGGTAAATCACTTAAAATAAGTTATTGAGGTTTTTTAAGAAAAATTCATTTATTTTACTAAGAGCCCGTTTGGAGAACTCTGTTTTCGGCTTATCAGGCTTATCAGTCAGCTTTTTCACCAAACACGTAACTTTTACTTTCGCGCGCTGAATTGTGTAATAAGCCGAAAAAGTAAGGTTGGAGTTACTTTTCTGGCTGTATTGGCTGATGTTACTGTAGAGGACCATTTTAGCTATTTTTACATATAATTTTTTCTTTAATTTATTAATAAAATATATTTTTAAAATATTTTTTTCTTAAATCAGCAGAATCAGCCAAAACAGCTACTTCAGCCAGAATATCATAAATTTCAGCAGAATCAGCCTAAACAGCCGATTTTGGTGCTACCAAACGGGCTCTAAATTACCAACTTTTACTTTCTCGGTTTTCGTGTAGAATCTACTTTTTACTTTTTCTATTACACAAAAAACATTTATTTTACCAAACACTACCAACTTTTACTTCTAATCACTTTTTCCCAAAAAGTGCTTTTATTTAAACACACATGATTGCAAATAGAGTCTTAGGGTCTGTTTGCAACAACTTCTGCTTTTAAAAAAGTGCTTTTTTAATGAAATGGAGAGAAGTGATTAAATAAAAGTTGATAGTGTTAGAGAAAAAAGTGATTTTGAAAAGTAAAAATGGGTAGTGTTTGGTAAAATAAGTGTTTTTTGTATAATAGAAAAAGTAAAATCACTTTTGACGCGAAAGCTGAGAAAAATAAAAGTTGTAGTGTTTGAGAAAATAAGTGCTTTTTAAAGCCAAAAGCTGAGAAGTGCTTTTTAAAAAAAAGTTGCAAACCAACCCTTAGCCCTCCGGAGTGCCGCTTCTTTCATTACTTTGCAATTGTGAAGAATCGTCAGTTGCATTCAAAAGTCCTAGTACTTGCACATTTATGTCCGATTTTCGTTGAATCTTGCCCTTCCAATTATGTAAATTATGAAGAAGGCGGCAGTCGTTGAGTACCATTTTTCGTCCATTGTGGTGCTATTTTAGGTGTTGCTGCTTGTTTGATTATTGAATCCGCTTAGACAACGTTTTCTAGTTTCTAATATCTCCTACCATATTTCTCACATAAACGTCAGATTTTGGTATATTTCTTAGTCTGTCATGTATCAGTTTTTACATTACGACATACGAAGTATACTCCGGAGTATTTTTGTAAGAGTATCAATCTAGGGTCTTGTATAATAAATACGTTTTCTTGGATTTAATCGAATATGCGGATATGATTGGGTATGTTTTAAAAGTTTTAAAGCCCGAGTCGAATCTCTTGTAAATTGTATTATCGTAGTTTCACCCCAAGTTGCAACTCCAATTTGTTTTTTTTATCCAAAAAAATTTGCTATACAATGGTTTAATAGCCTCAATAAACTGACCCTTAATGGTGCTAATTAACTGGTTTCTTAAAACCTAAATTGTACATTCCATCCAACATATTTCTGAAATATGTTAATTGCTGGATGAATTTGACCTTTTTAAGGGGTCTTAGCTATATGTATGTTATATGGTCTTTTAAGAATAAATTCACCTAATATTATACCTGTATTTTTTTAAAACTTCTAAAATTAAAATACTACGTATAGTTCTGTGTTTAGCCTTAATCGTATCATATTATTTAACTTCTATCATAAAACAATTATACTCCGTATGATATAGAGTAAGGGGCTCCACCGCCTCGAAACAGTAATTCTTTTCGCCGCTTGAAGCTGGGTCGCCGCTTAAAACAAACATGATCACTGCCAAGCCCTGCAAACGCGCACAGTCCATAGTCTCCATTGTTGTAGCCCTGACCTCGCTGCAGATCTGCTACGTCTCTGCAGTCGCCACAGATTTCTCCTTCCTAAAAAATGGTTGTTCCTGTAAGCAGTTAGGCTCCGTTACTTTGAGCGGCCGCTGTACGTAGATTGCCTGAAATTTCAACGGTGACAGATCCAGATTTGAAGGTTGACTTCCTTCCATCTGTGTTGTTCACCATCGAACCGCCGGAAAGTTCACTGGCAATGACGCCAATATCATTCAGGATCGCCAGAGCTTCCCCGTCAAACTCCCTCACATTTCTATGCATATTAGGGTGAACATATTGATCTAGTGTGCTCAATAGGATTCGAATTAGCTGCCATTGAAGCAATTATTGTTGAGATGTAGGGCTGAATGACATGGCCCATATTTATAGCTACACTCATGTTAGTACGTTTTCAACGACCTTTGAATAACCAATAAATATTGTTACGTTGTTTTGTACGGAGTAACAACGAAGGTCTATATGCCTATACCATCACATGCAGACTTGACAATTCACCACAAGTCATTGGTCAAACTTAAGAAGCGTGTCCCGATGAACTTTGCATTTACTCCGTATGTCTTACTGATAAACTTTGCCTTTATTGATAAACGTGGTTGACCATTTAATGCACCGTATGAATTCCACCAGGATGTCGTTATACCCGTTTTGCACTATCCGACCCGCACTTTACCCGGAATTTTGGGCGGGAGAATGAGCTGGAAATCCACTTCGTTTTATATAGAGTTAGATTAATTAATATAATGCAAAATTTGCCATTATCCTCAAAAGGTGTGAGCCGCAATTAGCACCCTTTAAAAAGCAAATTTAATACTTCGTATTTTAAAATAACACATGCGAGTAAAAATACTAAAATAGTATTATTACAATTATTACTATGAGACCACACGTGCACAAGTGTTCTCATAATACATCATAATAATAATCATTATATTTAAACAACACCATTTTAATAAATCACATTATTTGTTTATAAAATGATTAAGGACCATGTAAATTAACAATTGAGCTTTATTTTCAATAAATCTCCAACAGATCAGACGTTTACCGGACTAGGTCAAACTAGTTCAGATCAGATCAGACCGAACCAGACCATCAAATTTCAGTCCAAAAGAAAACATCGTAATTTGTAAAATGCAATGTACAAGTAGCATTTAAAAAACAAAAAATTGATTTGTACCACTTTTGCACACCCTCCATATTTTGCCTGTGTATACAAGCAGTTCATTAGGAAGATGATATCATTTTCTTCCAATTGCCTATGTACAAATACAATGTACAAAAGAAAGTGTGTATGAGGTTTAATGCATCAACCCCTCTCGTGAAATAAAAATTCGGCGCATTAGCGTTGTGATTTAAAAAATGCGTCAAACCCCCATGTGTTATAATTAATCATGTGCCAAACCCCCTCTAAGAACAAATTTAATTTCCCAAAAAATGAAAAATGGTTAGTTTTTTGTATAATTTAGAATTTTTGACAAAGTTACTTGCATATTCAATCATATTATTAAAAAAATGATTTCAAAATTTTAAAATCTGTTTTTGAAGGGGGTGTTGCGCATGATTAATCATAACACAATGAGATTTGACATATTTTTTAAATTATAGGGCTAATGCGTCCAATTTTTATTCCATGAGTTATTAAAAAAGAGAGAGAATGAGTTCTTAAAAGAAAGTAACTCCACTACGTAAACGAACTAGCAAACGGTACCGACTAAGCTCATCAAATGGCCGTACAAAAACCTCTCCTGGTTCAAACCATACATGTGGGGGTGGGGGTACAGCCTACCCGCCATTCCCCGGCCCCCCTTCACTCAACTTTCTGTCCTTGATGACTCGGAGCCGCCTGAACCAGAGCTCCGGCTCCGGATCTTCTGGTCCTCCTAATCCGGATCACTTGACCCATTCTCCCAGGCCCAGGTACTCTTCATCCTCATCTGATCCCATGTCAACTACCTCCCGAGCTAACCCGCTCAAAGCCGTCGCTCGGACGGTCGCCGGAGCTTTTGCACCATGTTTCCCTCATCCAGATTCAAAAGACCCGACCCAGTTTGATGATTCCTTCTCCTCCAAAGCCAAAGCCACCTCTGGTATTGGTAATTAACCCCCGCTTCCATTACTGTATGCATCCCTCCAATACATATCTTTGATATGCTTAGGCTTGTACACAGTGGAAGGAAAAATCATGCCTTTTGTTGGCTGCGTGACATGTTGTTGAGCTTTGCGTTTCTAACTTTTGATAGTGGGGCCAATAGATATTAAGATTCTATGGGTAGGCGATTCATCAATTCAAGATTACAAAATTTGCATTCTTAAAGATATATGTGAGCTGTAAATGTATGACGATCTCTTACAGTTAGAATAGTATTGATGGTGTTTTATTTACACTTGGGAATAATTCGAACTTCAAATGTATAAACACATCATTTTTTAAAAATATGTTGCTTCATAACTGAACTGAGGATACTTGGACCTTAGCGTAAAGATTACAATGTCATTACTTGCTGCCATTAGTGCATTTCGTATGGGCTTCTATCCTGCAATCAGAAACCTGGTTGAGATCTCCATAAAAGAGTCGAATTATTTCGGTAATATGGGACTTTTGGGTATTTCAGGCACTGGAAGTGAGAGGACACGTAATCCAGATCAGAATATTTGTAAGAATCTTAACAAATTAACCCACGTGGAGCAGCCTGTTGGTGTGAAATTTACCTTAGAAGAAATCAATAAGGCTACAAAGAACTTTTCGTTGAACCTAAAAGTTGGACAAGGCGGTTTTGGGACTGTCTACAAGGGCCGTCTTGCAAATGGAACTGTTGTTGCAGTCAAGCGCGCCAAGAAGGTGGAAGCTCAGTTTATCATAATCTACTCTTTTTTGTCTTTTTCATAAAAATGTAAAGAAATATCATGAATTCCTAACCGCCTTTATTTTCAGTTTGTTTATGATAAGTATTTAGAAAATGAATTTCAAAGTGAGGTCCAAACCCTGGCAAAAGTAGAGCATCTGAATTTGGTCAAATTTTATGGTTTCTTGGAGCATGGGGAAGAAAGGATCGTTGTTGTTGAGTATGTTTCAAATGGCACTTTGAGGGAACACTTGGACTGTGAGTTATTAGTACCTGTCATTGTACCTTTCATACTGTTTTTTTAGTCCCAGTATGACAGTATCCACAGAGAAATATATCATATTGTATTATTATTTGTTTTCAAATTCTTAAATTGTTGTGTTTGGATTACATATAAAACCTAGGTAACAATGGAAGGGATGTTCTACATCTTGCCAAGAGACTGGACATTGCCATAGATGTTGCCCACTCTATCGCATACTTACATACATACACAGGTATAAACTAGGGTATGAATTGATCCATGAGTCCTACCTGCCTTGCAATATTTTGAGTGAAGTGCCTCTTATTGGAGAATGAGTTACTTTCCGTGCAGATCACCCAATTATCCACAGAGATATCAAGTCATCTAATATTCTCCTCACTGAACACCTCCGAGCTAAGGTCGCCGACTTTGGTTTTGCCAGGCTTGCTGCTGATAGTGAGTCTGGAGCCACACACGTTTCTACCCAAGTCAAAGGAACTGCTGGCTACTTGGACCCAGAATATCTTAAAACCTATCATCTTACTGAGAAGAGTGACGTTTACTCGTTTGGGGTATTGCTCGTCGAGCTTGTCACAGGAAGGCGACCCATTGAGCCTACACGTGAACTCGAAGAGAGAATAACTGCTAGATGGGTAATGATTTTATTGCAATGATCATTAAATTATGGGAAGTCTATTAAGTCATGTCACGCTGGCCAAGTATAAGATACATGTTCACTTATAACGTATTGGACTATTAAGTCTTCAAGAAGGTTTATCTTTTAAACTTGAACCCCAAATCCAAGTCTTGTGATGGTATTAAAACTATTTAATTCCAAGTCTTATAATAATCAGAAATTAAGTTCAAAGCATAAATCACAACCCTTCTATAAAGGTTGACTTTTTTATGTTGAAATGCGAAGTCCTAATGAAGTGTGTATTTATTTGAAAAGATTGAGAAAAATAAATAATTTAGCACACTATGTTTTCTTTCCTGCTGTGGAGTGTTGATTTGCATCCCTTCTTTTGATCATTTTATGCCTATGTTGGGTTTAGACAAGGATGAAAGAGTTATATAACTATTATTATGTTGCTGGAACTGAAAATTGACTCACATGCAGGCTATGAGAAAATTCACCGAAGGAGATACAATTATGATTCTGGATCCACGACTGGAGAGATCTACAGCGCATGGTGCAAGTGTAGAAAGAATTCTTGAATTAGCTTTACAATGCTTGGCTCCCCATAGACATAACCGGCCTGAGATGAGGAAGTGTGCCGAGATTCTCTGGAGCATCCGCAAAGATTTATGAGATTCAAAACAACTATCTACAGTACCACATATGATGATTCTTTTTTATGTATATATACTCCAAGCAGATGGCAAGCTCTTATACAGCAAGGAAGGTGCCTCTCTTCTATGAGGAGGGGGGTGTTGAGCCATACATGAAAAGTAAGGTGGCAAGATTTCCTACACTACATGGATCCTTCGGGCACATGTCTCTCCATGTGTGGGCAAAGTGCCCATCCCAGTGATGTGGCTTGTTTTGATGTAATTTTCTGTTTTTAATGGTTGTATGCCAGTAAAGTTTCTTGAGGGAATAGTTGAATGGAAGGACTGGAAGCGCACATTCTCCATTTCTCCCTCTAATATTATATATGTACTTCAAAAGTGCTTTCTTGCAAAACAACTTCATAATATCACCTGCAATCGTTTGTGCTGATGCAATTTGTTTTTTCCTTAAACTGCAACTCGAAAAATTATGTACTAGACGAGTCACTGTTCTTTCCTTCTCTGATGCATTACCCGCCATATCTGATCCACTTTTGATTGTCAGCACATTCGTTTTCCATCATCTACATATACTTAATTCTCACCTTCTCCCGACTCATTGCCCATCGCCTGCCATTCACTACCCATAAAAACGAAATAGAAACATAAGAAAAAAGATCCTAATAAATCATGGTGATGAGTTTTCTTAATCCGAAAAGTCCATTAGCCATTCAGTAGTAATCCGTTCTCTTGATTTTGCCACCATCAAAGAATGTCATTGTAGTCATATATGCCCACCTTGACAATGGAGAAGTTGTGGGGGTCCAAAGTAAACGACATTTGAGATGTAAGGCCTAACTTCCATGGATATAGTTGAAGTTTTCCATGGTTGGAAATTCACTATATATGTGATGTGTACAAAATAACATCATTGTTTACATGGATTAGAGAAATATTTATAAACGACAGAAGTTCTCAAAAGTTATACAAATATTGAGGGGCTCAGTGAGGAGTACAAGTTAGGATGAGCCCGTACAAAATCTTTTTTAAATAAATTTCTACATATAAATTTTGATCTTAAAATCCAAGCATTTTTCAAATTTCGAATGAGCCAGAGCCTGGTCACCCCCTCACCTCCGTCCGTGCACGATGCAGATATTCATTAGTTGTTGGCCATCTTTAGATAGTATTCCTTCCATAAATAATATTTCACTAATAGTAAAGTTAACGCTTTTAATATCAATACAATTTATCTGTGTAACATCGTTTTAGGAATTAAGTATAATATCTAAAATCTTGACTTCAAGAGCCCGTTTGATGACCTTGTTTTTTGACTTATCAGAATCAGATGTATCAATAAACTTTTTCACGAAACACATAACTTTTGATTTTACACGCTGAATTGTGTAATAATAAGAAGACCATTTTAGCTATTTTGTTATATATTTTTTTTATTAATAAAATATATTTCAAATATAATAATTTCAAATCAGCAGATCAATCAGCCCACTAGTCACTTAAATTTTGAAGGATTTTTAAACATGATAAATTTAAAGCATTTTGAGGACACCCCTTAACTAAAAAAACAAACAATTGCAGATCCGCCCCAACTACCTGAAGGTTGGTTTTGGACATTTACACTCCATTGTAGCGGAGCAACATCAAATTCCAATTGGCATCTTCTGCAATCTTCTGGCAATATCCTACTCCCTGTTTCATTTCACTCCTTTGTCTCTACTCATTTCGCAGCCAGTTATCTGCTTCTGTAAAATATAATACGTCGATCCAAGATGTATATGGCATATGGATGGCCACAGGTCATCCCACTGGAGCCTGGTCTCTGCCATTATTCTCAGCAAATTGTTTACCTCAAGGTCACTAACGGCTTATTGCTTGTAGTATCACCAATTCATCTTGAGCTCTGGTCCTCTTCTCAGGTCATTTCAACGGAATTCTCCTCATTGATTTATTTAAATGCAAAATTGGATGATATTTTTGTACTCACGGCTGTTCAATTTGAAATCCCTTTCAGCATAGGGTGAGATTGGCGAAGTACAAGAGAGATTCAGATTCAATTCGCAGGGAAGGCGAGAATATTCAGGCTGTTTGGAGCCCAGATACCAAATTGGTCGCTATAATCGTAAGTCTATAGTTGGTTAAAACTATAACAACTATTACTACTCTCTATAACGTTGACAGTAATGCATTGGTGTTGTTTCTGGGGCAATGTGGTATGTGCTTTCAGTAGACCCATGGCTCAAAACTCGTTTTTTCTGTAGTAATTATCTTTGAATGAGCTTTAATGCACCATTATCATCACATTTCTTTAGTTCTAGGAGGGGCATTATTTGGTATGGGTTTTGTGAGACTCTGCAAGCCATCAATTTTTGTTTATTTTTCATTGATTGATTGTATGATTGTTTTTTTCTCTGGAGAATCTGTCCTTTTTGTTGTCATGGGTGCTTGTAATGTAAAAAAGAACTTCGATTGTATGCATCTTACCCCTGTTTCCTGCAGTTTGATTTACATTGAAGCAAGTTGAATAAATTTCATACTAAATTTGGATTGTGTAAGCTGATATACATTTGTTTTGCTCTTTCTCAGACATCATCTTTGCATATCCAAATCTTTAAGGTTCAATTTACAGAAAAGAAAATACAAATTGGAGGGAAACAGCCATCTGGTTTGTTTCTAGCAAATATAAGTTTACTTCTTAACGAGCACATGCCATTTGCTCACAAGAATTTGACACTGTAAGTGATTTTCTCATTACCATATTTTGGTTTTAAAATTTGTTGCAGAGCCAGTCCCAACTTCTCTTTTTTATGTATGATGAAATTGTTTGGATTTACTTAGGGATTTTATAAAGTAACAGTCAAGCACATTACAAAATTTGGAATTTATATTAAGTTTTGGACACCATTAATTTTTTTATTATCCGTTTTGCCATATGTTGCCATATCATGTAATGACCTGCTTTTGAGTTATATACTCCCTCCGTTCTTCAATAGATGGCAGTATAGGTTTTTCACGGAGATTATAAAAAATATTACGGGTTAATGAGTAGGGTACAAAAAGTATGAAAGAGAAGGAAAAAATTAGCGAAGAGAAGGAGAAAAAGTAGGAAAGAGAAGCAGAAAAAATAGGAAAAAGAATATGAAAAAGTAAGGTAAAAGTTGCCATGAATGGAAATGGTTCAAGTAATGAAAACTTTTCAAAAGGGAATATGGGTCATTTAATCAAGAACAGAGGGAGTCTTTTTTGTTTTCGGTTGCTTCCTGGAACCTGATAGTCTCCTCTGATTATGGCTCTCCTTTGCTGATTTGTTTGGCAGGAGCAATATTATCTCTGATAACAAACATATGCTTGTTGGACTCCCTGATGGGTCATTGTATAATATTTCATGGAAGGGTGAGGTAATATACGAAGTAACTTCTTTTAAGACCTCTCTATCATCTTATTTTTTAAGAAGACTCAGCTAATATTTAGAAACCTCTTTTATATGAAGAAATTTGTGATGAAGTGTTGTAAGTTGTAACTACTTTAACTATTTATCAATTGAGTCCAGAAAATGCTTTAAATGTTTTGTGTGCTAATATATTGTCCTTATTCTGATTGTTATTGATACAGTTTTATGGAGCCTATAATATTGATGCTCAGTTTCACAACGATAGTGAGGTTACTAAAGTTCCAAATTATCTGGAAAATGGCTTCTCTTCAAGTGAGACTGAAATTAATTCTTTGCCCAGTTATTGCAAGTCAAAACCATCTGCTGTGTCCCACCTGGAATTCTCCCTACCCTTAAGGTTGCTGTTTGTTCTATTCTCTGATGGGCAACTTGTCTTATGTTCTGTAAGCAAAAAGGGTTTCAGACATTCTGAATCTGTTAAATATGAAAAACATTTAAGCTCTGGTGATGCTGTTTGTGCCTCTGTTGCTTCAGAACAACAAATTCTTGCTGTTGGTTACAAAAGAGGTGTTGTTGAGTTGTATGATCTTGCAGATTCCGCTTCACTGATACGCTCTGTTTCTTTGTCTGACTGGGGGTAAGTCTCTATGCTACACAGTATGTGAAAGATATGGAGACACTGAAAGTTGATGAGATGCGAACACACATTTGATTTAACTTATATATATCATTTATTAGGCAATTCCATCATTTGCAATGGAGCCAAAGACTCACTAATTTTTGGCTTGAAAATATGATGGAATAAAGCAAAATGGCTCACTAAACTGTCTGCACTTCTTTGTTATGAAGCTGCAGTCAATCCATGCAATTTTGGACGCGATTTCCAATATGGGTCATCCGGAAACAGTCTCTCTGTGCTTTAGTATAGGGGTAAGACTGCGTACATCCGACCCCCCCTTACCCCACCGTAGGTGGGAGCCTTTGCGGCATTGGGGTAATGATGATGATGATATAATTTATTAGGCAGTCATCAGAGAATGGATGACTAACAATTATTCTCTGGAAGAAGTTATTTGAGGAAGTATTTGTAATACTCAGGGTCAGTGTGGCAGGGGAAGGGGTTGAGGATAACCTAACTTACAGCTCTAATACATTTGCATCTCCAGATAATGTTTTCTAGAACCTTTAGGCTTATTTGTTTTATATATGCTTGTAATCTTTTACTTTATGGTGGCTATATGAATGGGTATGTAGACGTTAGCTTCTGCACCTAGATAGTGGAGAGAATACAAGCTCATCTTGTACAGAGAAAGCTGTGAACTAATTTATTTTGATATTTTTCCTGGGTCTCACTTTTGCAGGTATTCTGTTGAGGATACTGGTGCTGTAAATTGTATTGCTTGGACAGCTGACAATTCTGCTTTCGCAGTTGGGTGGAAGTTAAGGGGGCTTACAGTTTGGTCAGTTTCTGGGTGTCGATTGATGTGTACAATCCGACAAGTTGGATTAAATTCAATATCTTCTCCAGCAACTAAACGTAATCAGGAGTGTAAATATGAACCTATGATGGGTGGCACCTCACTGGTGCACTGGGATGAACATGGATATAGGCTTTATGCTGTCGAGGAAGGATCTTCAGAGAGAATTATTGCATTCTCTTTTGGAAAATGCTGTCTCAACAGAGGAGTTTCTGGGACAACTTATGTTCGACAAGTAATCTATGGTGAAGATAGGTTGCTTATCGTCCAGTCAGAAGATACTGATGAACTTAAAATCATGCATATTAACCTTCCAGTATGTGCCAAACAGATTGATGCCTTAATTGTTTCCATCTAAAGCCATCATATTCTCTCCTACCATTTTTCATTTTCTTGCTGATACTTTTATGATATATTAAGTTTCAATGTCAGGTTTCATATATTTCCCAAAATTGGCCCATTTTACATGTGGCTGCTAGTAAAGATGGAATGTATTTGGCAATTGCTGGCCTTCATGGGTTGATCCTATATGATATACGACAAAAAAAATGGCGTTTTTTTGGAGATATTAGTCAGGAGCAACATATTCAGTGCAGGGGCTTGTTATGGATGGGGAAAGTTGTTGTCGTTTGCAACTATGACGATGCTTCG